GCAGCTCGGACAGAAAAAAGCTTGATCCGGCTCGACTCATGAATGCCAAGCCTCATTTTCGAGCAACAGCCCAAGTTTGAGCCGGCCTGCGTGGTTCAACGAGCCACATTGGGAAGGCTCGTGTGACGGGCTATTTTTGGTTTGTGATTCTACGGGCCATTTTTTGCCCCAAAAAAGGAGGGTTGTAACTTTTTTTAATTTATAATTAGTATAAATCGCACAAAATTTATATTATTAAAAAGAATTTAGAATTTCACGAATTAAAAAAAAAAAAAAAGAGCTGGCTCGGGCTCGCTAAATCCCGTGCCAAGTCTCAATTTTTCATCCAAGCCATTTTTTGCACCAGTAGTGCACGAGCTGGTTCGGCTCAACTTGTTTACATGGCTACTTGAAATCAACTAGAAATTTATATTAGAAATCTAAAACACCAAAAACAACATAAATTTACATGATAAAAGCACAAAATTAAAATAAAAGTTAGAAATAACATAATGAATTACAATAGCAGCGCAGCAACTGGTCCTAAAAATCTATTTAATCAACCAATTCACCTCCACAAATCTTTCGGCATACGTTCATGCACATTCTCAAAATATAATATTACAAAATACAATTATTTTTTCAATAAAATAATTACATTCGTATATCTAACTTTTTTACCTACTTTTATGCACATTCTCAAAAAATACTATTACAAAATACAATTTTTTTATTAAAAAAATAAGCTCAAACAGAAGTTAAAGCATACTAATAATAAATTTCCCCTCTTGTAAGAGCACATACTATAAAATAATCAATTTTCACTTAAAATAATCTCCACAAACTGCACGTACGAGCCTCGCCACCTTCCGGTCTCTTTATCCGTTTCCATCTAACCTCCACCCCTCTTTCTCTCCCATTTCGAACTTACAGAATTCCCTAAAATTTTCATCAATTTGAATCTTATACCACCTCTGAATCGAAATTATTTTTCTTTATCGCACTTCGAAATTTAAGGTTCTGACTTGAATTAGAATGAGACGATATCCATGATGAGCAGCAACAAAAACGGTTTCTCGGACGAAAAAGACGAAGATGCCGTTGATGATGAACCCAAGGACGGAAAAGACGAAGACGCCGTTGATGATGAACCCAAGGACGGAAAAGATGAAGACGCATTCGTAGGTTGCCGTGTCGGCTTGAAAATTGTCGTGTCCGCCCCATATTTCATACTCCCCGTACCCGTGTCGTGTCGACAAGGGTATGCTGGTGGAAAACAAGAGTCTGAGCATCGCAGCTTTTAATAATACTGACATATTCAGAGAGGGTCATTTTATTATTCGCACCACTGTCTTAGATGCATTATCATGTGTTTTTTCTATATCTATATAAATCACATCCAAATCTTGTTTCTTGTCTTTATAACCTAAAAACTAAAACGAATCCTAGGCAATCGCATCATAAGCAATTTTTTGGAAGATAATAGCTATTTTTGGAAAGAGGTTTTATTAATGGACATCCTGAAAAATGAATAGGGTCACTCATCCATGTGTTTTCCTAGATACCTTATCACTGTTTTTCCTAAATCTATATAACAAAAAATCATATAGAAATTTTGTTTCTTTTGTCTATACCTCAAACCAAAAATAAATCCTCAGAAATCACATCAAATAAGAAATTTGATGAAAGATGTTGCCTATTTTTGGAAAGAGGTTACTATTACTGGACATCCAAAGAAAGAAATAAGGTCGCCCATTCATGGATGGAGATTGGAGGGTGTACTATTTTCTAAGTGGAGGGATAATTAACTATAATATGCCACATCTCAGAGTAGCTTTTGTCTAAAATTGTGACTCAAGTTCTATTGCCACACGTATAATAACCTAAGCTAAAACAGTAGTGAAGCCTGCCATACAAATTAACACTTTTTGCCTCCCTGCTGTGAATAATCAATTGCCCCTGTGCCACTTAAAATTTCAAGGGTGAAAACAAAGCATGCCTTGTATATATGAGGTCACCACTTGATGACTAATTCACCTTATACATCCCTTGCTAACTGTGGACAAACCCATATTTTTTTATGATAAAGTAATTTAATTAAAAAGTGAAAAAGAGGACATGACTCAAGTATAAAAGGATATAGCACCAAAAAATAGACTATATACGTGGAAATTCTACAACAGCGAACATTTTGCTAGCTAAGGGAAGCTTACTGTTTGCATATTAATTCTTCATGTGAGATGCATGGAATATTTTTATTAGGCAATAACCACAAGGGAGTTTCTTTTAAATTGTACCGATACAATCATTCCCTCAATATAAATATGTACTGCAAGTCAAAAGGAATTAAAAGTAATCAATTTTTCGAAGCAACCCATCAAGTCAGTAATGATTAGTAGAAAAACAATTAATGGTATGAAGCCAGATGAAAGTATAAACAGCGGGGCTTAGTCAAATGGAGCATAAAGTATCTCATACAAAATAAACAGAATCTCATAACAAGTAGAAAGAACTTGGATGAACAACCAACCTGGAAATGTGAACTGCTCAGGCAATGCCCAATCTGGCGGAACAATGGAACCATACACCGCTGGAACTCTGGAGGCTGAGTTGCTTCTAAGACTTCCTCAAGTTCACCTAAGAACATAACCTCCTTTGAACTGTTAGTGATTGGCCAATATTTCAATAGGCCCCTAATAACAGTATCAGCAAGTTTGCAGTCCTTCTCCACGAATTGAGTGATGCAATAAGATAGCTGCTGATGGTACATGGGTATGCATTTCGGTTTATGAAGCGGAATGAGAGCTCGAACAAGAAAAAGTTTGTGCTCTTCCTTCAATGGCAGTGCAAATCCATTTATTATACTGCCTAAAATTTCTAACAGCTCTGCAATTCCATTGTGTTTCTCAGTTTCAAAAATGAACCGGTAGAATATATTATTGATTGCTTTTCGAATGAAAGGGCGGTGCACCATGAACTTTCCATAGATGCGGTGCAGAACTGTTTTCAAGTACTCCCTTTCTCTGGGATCTTCTGAATCAAAAAGATCTAATAACCTTAGAACAAAGGAGTGATCAATGTACCGCTTGGCCAGCTTTGCATCTGTCTCTGGTGAAGCCACAAACCTGAGAAGGAATTCATAGACAATTTGCAAATGGGGCCAGGCAGGATCCATCAATGGTTCCTCTTCTTCCAAATCAAAGGCTTCTAAGACTTTGTTTTCACGAGGCTGAGTAGAAAGTGTCCTGAACAAATTTATGGTTACCATTCTTACAATCTCTTGCATAACAGTTTCTGTGAATTTCCCATTGGCAGAAGTGATGTAGTCAACAAGCTCCACCAATGTCTGCCGCTTGATGTCTTTCTCTTTCAAGTTTTTTGTCGGGTCAGTAAAATCAAACGCTACACAGCACAAGTTCAGCTTTTTGATAAACAAGGTTTGCTTCTCTGAATTTGGGACATCTCTAAAACTAGGAAGTGCCTCATACGGTACAATTCCTGCATTACCGTTGACTCTTACTGCATCAGGAATTTTATTTCCATGATTTAGACCAGAATTAAAATTTGAATTCAACCCCGAAAGAGATGCAGCATTTGAATTGCCCAACCGAGAACCAGCAGTGCTTCTCGAATTACTCAAAGCATTTGAAGAGAATGCAGAGGATCCTCCTTCACGATTCTCTGTTATCTTAGCTTGTTTCTTTGGAAGCCTATTGAGTATATTTTTAATCATTGCTTAGAACTACAAATGACAATCTTCTTCAATCGAACTCAGCCGTGCATACCAATCAAAATACCAGAAGGCACACTGTAGACAGTGAAAGATGTAAACAAACATACAGCAACCCTATCAGCAGGAAAAAAAAATCTACCACTGCTGCTATTCAATGAGGATATAATCCCCCTTTGAATTCAGTATTAGCTCCACCACCAAAAGAAAACATGCATGATCAACATACTTCCATTTGTACCAGCCCAAGGCCTGTAAAATTTAAGATAAGAAAGGAAGGAAAATAAACAGAACCCTCGAGAAGAAAAAACCACACCAGCAAGAACTGTACAAGCCACACTTACTCTCATAACTCAAGGAAACACCAATAAAAAATTCAACCTTCCTTAATAGTAAGAAAGGATGTGTAAAGTCCACCCACAAAATTATCAACTCCACTCTCATTTAATATAAATCGCAAGTCGCTGTTATACCAAATAGTGAAAACCCAGATTCACAAAACAAGCTAAAGTTAAAATTTACCAAAATTTTACAAAGAATATTAGAATGAGTTTCTACAACATTGACTTCTACATGATCTAATCGCCCTGAGAAACCCCAGTAAATCATAATTCCAACTTACCCCAGCTTCCTTTTTTCCGAATTCAACAAAGATTCCCAATTAAGTATTCAGCTAGATCGGCAAGTAACAAGATCTGGGCATGATCTACAAAACCCAGCAAACATTATCGATCAAGAATCACCTACAAAAAAGTGTCAAAATAGTAATACCAAAATACCCAAAACAAGTATAGCTATACAAGTATATACGCTGACCTAAAGTTGAAAACTTTACAAGTACATGTGTAGAAATGAATAAAAAGTCTAAAAATTATGCCTCATTGATGCTTACATGAAGTATAGCTGTTAGTGCTTTGATGAAAAATAAAGCAAAAGAAAAGTAAAAGTAGAGAAAAGATTGAGTACATGTGAGGGGTCAGTGATTAAAATCTTGAAAATAGGCCCAAAGTGAAGGGAAGAGATAAAGAAAGGGGAAAAAAAAGCAGTGATGGCGTTCAAGAACGCAAATCTATCTTTCTGGTAGCTGTTCCCTTCTTCAAGATGTGCTTATTTGCTTAATTTTCTTGGATTATAGCTTTTTTCTTATTTTTTCTCTTTATTTTGGAAAAAAAAAAAAGATCTTTTTCTTTTATAAATTTCAACCTTAATCACCACAGCCTTCGCCGGTCCATCCCTACTTTTGGTTTTCACCAGATGATTACATTTGTCAGGTTTACCCACCGTTTTTCCAAAGGTTTCTCTTCTTCTTGGGCTATGGCACGGAGGAAGGAGGGGTAGAAATGGAAACTAGAGAGAAAAGAAGCGAACGCGCCTCCTCGTACGCGTGGAGAAAGTCCTGTCAATTGTATGGAAGCATGAGAAAGTGTCTATGGGGATACTGACTCACCCTCATAACTCTCGTGTTTGGACAACTCCCCACGCGTTTTATGTCGCATGCTCACTTTCTTCACAATCCAGTCTATAACATTGCACCATCAGATCATAATATTGCTATGTAACAAGAGTCTTTGAGTTAGAGATGGCAAAAAATTTCGTTCAACTAGAAGTTCGTGGGGCTCCGTCCCGAACGAGTCGGGAATTACCCGTCTAATCGGATAAACATGAGGGGACGAGGGTCATTGCCCCAAAGCGGGTACGGGTCAGGTACATGATTCGTAGTCCCCGCCCCGATATCCGTCCCGTTTAAAGTTAATTTTAAATTTAAATTTTTTATTAAACAAAAATAATAGATTTATTATATTTTTAAAGAGAACATAAGTTATTTTTAACAAATTGGTAAAAAAAAAAGTAATAATATTTACTATATAAAGACATAAAAAAATAAATAAAAAATAAATTGGGCGATAAATGAGACCGCCCCGAACCAGCTCTGTCTCACTTTAAATGGGTATGAGGATGTGGCAATATAACAAAAATATTCAATGAGACATGAGTGAGAATGACCGAACTCATCTCATACCCGCAACATTGTCATCCTATCTTCAGTAGTGACTATTTAACAAAGATTTATATAAGGGTTAATTTCAGACCATCCAATTTTATACTTGGTGTCTTCACGAACACTCAATAATTTGATTTTATTTCATCATAGTCACTCAACTTTATACTTAGTATCGTCATGGCCACCCATTTGATTTTATTTCATCATGGTCACTCAATTTCACATAACGTTTAACCATGATCGCTCAACTTCTTTTTACTATTTTCACTAATTTTAAAATGGATAAAATGATAACTTTACATCATATATACAAAATAATTTTTTTTTTTTAATTTTAAAATCATTTTTTAAATAAATTTTTATTTTATTATGTAACGTTTTTTTTTTTTAAATATATTTTATTTTAAAATTATTTTTTAAAAAATAAGTTTTTATTTTATTTTATGTTATTTTATTTTTTAAGTAACTTTTTTTTAATAAGTTTTTATTTTGTTTTTGTTTTTTAAAATTTGTTTTATATATATTATGCAAAGTTACCGTTTTACCCTTTTTAAAATTGGTAAAAGTAAATTGAGTAGTCATAATAAAACGTTGTATGAAATTGGATGGTCATAAGAAATAAAATCAAATTGGATGGTCATGGTAACACTAAGTATAATATTTGGTGGTCATGGTGAAATAAAATCAAATTAATTAGTCATAGTGATACTAATATATAAGGTTGGGTGACAATCGGTAAATTTGACCCTTTTAAATAATTCTTGATAGGAATAAACCATCGAAACGACTTTTTGAATTGTATGAAATTTCAATCCAAAAATAGACCTGACCAATTCATCAACCTAACCCAAGTCGATTCGAGCTATCTAATTTCATGCATATTTTATATAAGAAAAACTAATTGCTAATTATGAAAAAAAAATGTCCTAAATTGATGTTTCTAATAAGGTCCAAGGCAACCTGAAATCAATCCGACTTCACCACGAAATTGACTTGAGTCGATTTGAATCGAACCTATTAGTCGGGTAATATGTCCAATCGCAGTTTATCATAGATCAACCGACTCCTATCAAAAGTTCAACACTAAATTGTTAACCGAAAAATAAGTTGAGGACCAATAGTACAATTTTTCCTATTAAAGTCAAATGTGGTATCCCTGGTGATTCTCTATCTTTTTCTAGTTCTTGAAGATTCTTAAAGAAAATATATGTGTGTTATATATTGAATAATCACTCTTTATTTGGAAAAGAATAATTTAAAAAGGCTAATAGAGTAAATAATAAATCAAAATGAAGTCTTGAACTGTAGTAATGATAAGAAGAAGAAAAAGAAACATTGAATATATGCGTATGTGTTGACAATTGAAGACGATTTATTAATGTTATATCTGATTAATGACTTATTAATTATTACATTGAGACAATTATTTCCTTATAAAAAAGTTGGTGGCAACTGGCAGGAGAACCAACCTGTTGGCATGATATTCAATTTGCAATAAACTTTTATTTTTATTTTTATTTTTCAACATTTAGGCATATTGTGTATTGGTATTAAGTCTTACGGGTGTTAAATGTCACATAAAACCTATGATACATGTTGTGATACGAAAAACACTGATAAATTTCTCGTCATCCAACCTGACAAACCTTAACTTGGTTGACCGAGTTCGACCCTTATAGATTGAACAAGACGTCTTAAGGCTATTGTAGATGTCAAAAATTGTAAGGATAACTTTTTAGCCAACTTTAAAGTAAAAAAAAAAAATTAGTTGACAATGACCTTCAAATACAAACGTTTAATCACTCTACCAAGAGAAGAAGTGAGAATGATAATGTTTATATCAACGTCATGAAGTTAGTAAAACTCCCCTTTGGAAGGGGCCCTTTTTCTCTATTTATGGGGAAAAAAAAGGACTTCTCATTTTAAGATTCGTGTCTTGTCAATCAAATCAACTACAGTATCGAGCTTGAAAAGTATGCAAATGATCTTATCCTTGATTAGTTGATGAAACCAACTCTCATCAGATCATCATGATGTCGAACATGTGTCACTAGAGAATGATGAGCTGATTATGGATGAGAAGTTATAGCAGATGATTGATGAAATAAGAAGGTGCTAACGTTAGGTGTTTGAGTATTGAATGGAGGATTAGGTAGTTTAACAGTGGTAAGAAATCTGTAATCATTATGCCTCCTGAAATTACGACGGTCATAGGTCTGAACCGACCTTGGCGATCCGATCTGAATTTTGCACAGGCTAGATACATGTTTTGATTTAGGTCCAACTTCGGAGGCCAACATCTATAAAGAAAAGTTAAACGAAATGAATTTTCCCAAGCACATTTTATCAAAGCCAACACACTCATCAATCTCCTCAAGATGTGAGAGAAATTTGTGGAATATTTAAAAAGTAAAAAAATATTATTGTGCATCACTAGTTCACAACATAAAACATGCTCCATCAAAAGAGAGATTTTTTTCTCACATAAACAATCTTAATCCTTGTAAAAGAAAGTGACAATTAACTTGTACACAATAAGCATGCAATTCTAATAGCATACACAATCAATTAATAACACGAATTCAACATTCGATGTTTTCCAAATTAGGTAATCAATTTGAGTAACGAGAATTCATCACTAACTATCAAGTTACAACTAACATGCGGTACATGACTATTATTACAAGTAATCCACATCATAAATTATGAGATTAAAGGAGCTTGTGACATCTTTTATCACATCTAAGCATCGAACCAAACATATTTTAATAAAAGCTATCTACATAATGAGACTAACCACTTAGGCCGCAAATGACATGTCAACAAATGCTGATCACACGAAGTGTATGTATATCGACACTCAAATTTAGTTGTGATCTTCACCAAGATAAACTTTGATTGGTCTATTCTTGGCATTTATCTATACAATTGCTTCAGCCATAGTGCAACTATAAATCTCTTCCAACTCACATATGAATTGAATTGTCAACATATTCTTCTCTCGGATTATCTTTCTTTGAGAAATAATACAATTTATCATTATGATGATAAAATATTGATAATGTGACAGTCTATGTGAAACAGTTCAATTTTTATTAAAGAGATGGGGAGGAGAGAGAAGGAGAAAATGTGAAGGATGATGAATTGTCATTCCATCGTTTTGAGGATAAATATTACTCTTTTGAGATATGAATCTTCAACATTTAAAGTTCGTAACGCTTGAATCTCATGAAACAACCATTATAGATATTAATGGTAAAACTAATAGCTATTATACAACGAGAAAAAAATACACTTAAAACATAAATTTTCAGAATGAAGAACAGGAAAAAGAAATGGTCCAGTGTATTGAAGTAACTATCATGATTGATTCTATCCTGCCGACCAAATCGATAGATCATTATCCAAAGATTAAGCCCATTTGATGGCCATTATAAGCCTATGTTTGACTACCATTATTTTAGAACCAAAACTTTTCCCTAAAACACATTCTCCAAAAATTCACTATTCAAAACATCATTGTTTTTCCGATATCTTTTTTAGCCCCAGTTTGACAATCATTATTGAATAGTAATTTTTTGAAAAAATGTAGGCTTAACAAATCTGAAAAAAATTTGAATTTACGTGCAAAATATTTTATTGTGTGAATGTACAATTAAAAATGAGTATGAAAAATAAATAAAGTCATGGGCTAAGTAATAAAGAACTCACAACAGTAACTAAATTCGTTCACACGTTAAAAATGTTTCATCCATGAATGTATATACGTACATTCATATATACAATACCCGATCTTTCAGAAAAAACAAGAGTGAAGGCGAACAGAACGACCAAAAAGAAACATTTGTTAGATTGTTTCTTTAGGTGGGCTATGTGTGTAGTCGGAATTGCTGGATTAAAAGCAATTAGGGAAGAGGTCGAAAGAGTGGTTAAAAAGGGAAGAAAAGGATGACGTAACATTTTCGTGTACACTTCTCAAAATTCATATTTTAACATTAACCCAAAAAATAGAAAATAAAAAATCTTTTTAAATAACTCTAAATAAAATGTGAAATTAATTGCTAACTTAATTTCGAATCAATTTAATTTTAATTCTAAAACCGAACACCAAAGAACAATGCCTTCTAAGCTACAACCAGACTAGACTAAACAAAATTCAATTCATCAAGCTAATGTCAGTTAAACACAAGTACTTACAGAATTTCTGAACATAATTAAAAAGCTATTTGAAGGCTTTTTATAAAGGAAAGGATAATAGAATAGCTTATCTTCAGTTATACATTGCTTCCAAGGAAGGAGTCTTCAAACTGCAGCAAGATAGATAGATAGATTAATTTTGCACCAAAAAGATGAGTACAAACAAGGCACATTCCAAAGATATGAAAAAGTTTCAGGATTGTAATGAGTAGAAAGTACTAGGGTGTTTTGTTTTAGGAAAAAAAAAATTATTTTGGGTTTTAATGGAGAAATTATCGGTACACAAATGGTCAAGTAGCTCAAAAATAATCTAATAATATAGGAAAGAGTAAAAGTGAAAAGTGAATTTTCAAAAGCAATAATACAAATGCTCTATGAACAACCAAATAAGCATCAGACAAGATTTTATACTGCTTAATAAAATAAAGTAATCAATAAATTGGTTTTTCAGCATCAATTTTACAAATGAACAAAATATGCATAGATAAAAAGATTGAACCTTGATTGCCCAACACTTGATCTTAGGCCAGATGCCGATCTTCCACCTAGCCGCTTTTCTTTCTTTCTGGACAAGAAACGTGGGAAGTCCAATATCTGCCAAGCCGACCAGACAACCCACCCCACTACAAAAAAGCACAAGTACGTGTTGTACAAACAACAATGCCATCAACAAGAGAGCAGGCATCCAAAGCAGGAACGAACAGACACAGTTAAGTGCCACATCACATGGATGGTGCAAGGAGGTTATTGCATAAAAGAAAATAAATTCCACAGAGATAGCTCTTTGGAGGTACAACAGCAAGTTTGGCCAGGTGGATATGATATCAATGCTCCATCAAAGCAGTTTCAGTCTCTGATAATGGAGCTGCAACAGAATGCAATAGAATTATAGACAAGTAAAGACAAGGACAATAAAAATGTAATAAATTGAAAAGATCTACAGATCAAGAAAAAGAAAAGGTTGAACAACGGCTAAACATTGTTGCATGTCGAAAGAAAAAAGAGTTTTACAAATTGACGGAAAAAACAAAGTTATATAAAACCCAAGCAACTTGACTAGTCATCCACCTAACACAGAACAAAGAAGAGGTTGGAAAAACTTTGACTCTGTACAACTTCACTACAAAAGAGAAGCTGGATTCCAACAAATGGAAGCACCTTTCTGGACGCAGCAATTTGAATCATTGCATACTAGTTCTTTGCAATCTTTAACTTTCTACATTTTCTCCTCCGGGTAGTGGAGAATTTAAAATCTTTTTTCAAGGCTGTGGTAACTCTCATGGTTAGCTGACAGGCAGCTAAGAATATACATAATTTCCCTAAAGGCGCCATCTTAGTATCAGAAAGTTCCATTTGAGAACCATGTTCTACAAGAATGATTTCTACACTATACCTGCTCATATCATATGTTCCAGGTAAATTATTCGAGGGCACACATACAAGTCAAGTGTCCACAGAAGCAAGTCAGTAACCAACAATAACTTATCGAACAAGCTTGATATTATTTCAGAAATAAATAAATAAATAAGCTCTAAAAGGACTGACGAAGTTCACATCAACATACCAAGCAAATCCTCGTAAGTATCTGCCAATAGTGATGTGTCTATTAGCAAAGGAGGTGAGAAAACTTGATCTTGAGTTACATCCACGTCATAAAATGACCTATGCGCATCAGAAACTGAAGAATTTGAACCAACAGCAGAAAGGAAGCCATTGACACCGTCAAACTCATTGAGTGAATCCAAATCATTTAACATGTAGCCAACTCCATCATACTTGCTCCCAAAATGATTGTCTAGAGCACAAGCCTCGAGCAAGTAAGGATCTGCTTGAGGTGTGAATAATTGTCTACTCTTCAGAGAATTAGGCTTCTTCTCTTGGTCAAAATGGGAAAACCCATTCCCTGGAAGTGGTACAAAGAAGTGCTCAGAGCTATCATCAGAATGGCTGTCTTGGGATGACTCCAAGTTGCAGGATTTAGATGAAAGAGCAGCTTCTCTAACAGATCTCTTCAAGTTTTCGGGGAAAAAATGATCTTCATCTGCAGAAACAGGGACAAATAGAATAATAAACTCCAATATAAAGAACGCGTAATTAAAACATGCATGTATAACATAGGAACTGCAGAATAAAGACAAACCATGTGGTGAGTTATCTGTACTACTCTTTGACAGAGGCTGTTCCACAGATTTCTTGTCAGAAATATTTTCCACTTGATTGGATTGAGGTATAGTCTGTCGTTTTTGTGTGTTCCCACTTTTTCCAGAAGAATTTGGTGTGGAGCTAAACAGTGGTGGCAATTTTAATGCAGGGGGGCTAGCTGATGCTTTTTCAAGCTGCAAAGATGATAATCTTGAGGTCATCTTGGCAAAATCATCAATCCCACTTTCCTGGCCATTAAAATAATTTTATCAGGAGCAATCTGAGAAGCTCAGCCAAATCATAAGATTGTGTTCCACAGAAAATGATTCGATAAAATTGAAAGAGAGAAATACCAATATCCTTCCACTGCCCTGTGCCTGGATAGGCGAGTTCAATCTACCATGATGTTTACTCACAGGGGGGAGATGGGACGATATACTGTTAACTTCCTCTGTAAGCTCTGAGATTGAATTCTGTATGGCCGGGGCAACATCCTTTAGTTGATCAATTAGCACCTGCAAAAAATCCAATGTGTAAGAAAAAGTTTCAATATGAGACATCTAACTTAGCCACTCCACTATATCCAATTATAGAATAAAAGCTTCAGAAGGTTTTCACTTGAAACTTTGTTCAACACCATCTGGTGAAAATTTCAAGTTACATCCACGCAATAGATTGACCTTCTAACCTCTTCAATGGGACCACAGTGCGCAGGTCAATAAATTCATTATTCACCTGTATGCTATCCAGATGCTGCTGATGTTCAGCAAGTGTTGCAGCCAAAGACTCAGCATGACTACTGGTACCACCATTATGCATACTTCGTAGGAGCTCTGGACCCTCTCCATCATTGGCTTTTGCCTAGGAAAATCATAATGTCATAAAGATCAGTATGCTGTTTGTAGATGAATTTAAAGATGAGAAATGATATTACAATATTCGTGAGCAAAAATCTTCACATCAACACAGCTAAGTTCAAAGGAGCTTTTTGACTGTGCAAGTAAGAATATTTCACAAACATAAATGATAAAAACAAGTTAGATTTCAAGACACTGTGTTATAAATATAAATGATACAAGTGAAAGAATAGACTTCCTCTACAAAATCAAGGTCAAATGTGAGTGTGCATCTAGGTCAAGAAAGAAAGCAAAAACACTTGATATTTTACCATGACTAGCAGATATGAAGCGTACGAAGAAAGTCGGCATAGCTTGCAAAGAATAGGAGAAATAGGTCAAAGGTAAAACAATTAAGGGACACAGGATGACGTGATATAAACTTTATTATATTATATTTGGTTACATTGCACCTCTCCATAAATGCAGTACTAAATTAAATAAAATTAAGAAAAAGTATTCAAGAGGGAAACCTCAAATTTATTTAAAATAAGGCTTAGCTTGTTTTGGAACCATGCCATAACTATATTTGCACATAGCCAGAATGTTATGCCAAAAGTGGGTAGATAAATCGCTCAATTTTTTATACCCATTTTTCACCAATCACCATGTCCCTAATCAAAATTTATTTCAAACTTAAGCCTGCACACCACAAAAAGGGGGGCATTTACTGCATTCCACAAAAAAAGTTCATGAACACAATTACTAATAAGGAGAAATGACTGGATCATCACCAGCCTGAGCAATGATAAAACACTCTCCCACAGAATTTAAGTCGTTATCAACCAGAGCAAAATTCCTTATCAGCACAAAACAACATACCAATTGCAGTGACTGTTTGTGTATGCGTTGTAAGGCATGCGTCCAACGCCTCAAAACTTCTGCTATATCAACAGTCGGCTGCCCTCTCAAGCTTCTTTCATCCACTCGAGAATTTTTTACATCATTTCCTTGAGCATAGGAATAATCTAATTCACCTTTGTTCTTCTCTTTGTTTAGATTTTCTTTCGGACCCTCAATTTCCTCATTATCTAGGTGTGACGGAGGTTGATTAGCAGAAGGAACTAGAGAGCTTTGATCCATTGCTGCCAACAAAGATGAACCGGAGATGCGATATCTGTAACAGAATGTCAAACATTAAGTCAGTCGCTAAAGACAATTGGTATTCGATGGAACCAAAAAGCTTTATGACGACATTACCGATGCTCACGATGAGCTATAAGATCCTCAATAGGGCCCGACGCAAGAACCTCATGTTGACCTATATAGAAATTATGTATGTTAAGGACCACACTCAGTGTTGTATCACATAATAAAACTTCATTGGTTATAGTTTAGTTGGAGATTGCTATATGAAAAACTGGGGATTACAATTATAGACTAAGATTCACTTAGATTTGCAAACAAAACAGATAAGAATGGTATAAACAGAGTGAGAACCACTTAAAAGACTGCAAATTGTCTGAGAAAATTACAACAGAAATTTTCAATTTTTCAGTCAAGCCAACATTGAAGTAACAGTGGGCATGACATATTAGAGAAGTACATCAGGCAGTGCTTGAAGATCATCCAAATGCAGCAACTAAAAATGAAATGACAATACCAAACAGAACTAGTTCTTGTACATATTTTTTCCACCATAGAGACTAAAAACCTCCAAATAAAAGCCAATTACTATTGGCATTGTTCCTGACATGTTCATTTGAGCAGAAACAGTAATCTCCTATGGGTAAACATGTCCTGCGCAAGTTTGATATTTTCTTTGGGTCACAAGATGATGAACCAGGAAGGACTGAACACGCAAAATTTGCATTTCAACATTAACCTCCAACTAATTATGATGGCCCAAGCTGAAGAACAGTATGCCATTACTTAACCATTTATACAGCACTACCAATGGCAGATTTCTCAAGTGGCAACTTTTTCCCCAGTTGCCAGTGATCCAGCAACTACCTCCGATTATTTGTGCACTAAAAGAAGAGAAAATAATAGAAGAAAAGATTTGTACATGTCAGCAGTAGTGAAGCACGTGTCCAAATTACAATGACATCTAGACAAGTAGGGCTATTTGCCAATTTTTTTCCACAGATTTTGACTGTCTTTGGGTTTTTGGGTGGCACTTTTTTTGAGAGGTTGAGAAAACCAATGTTTGTTAGTTTTTTGGAGCACTAACCATTCAAAATCAATGTAGTGTAATTTGAGCTGTATTTCTCAACCCACCAAATCGGTGATTTTTTTTGCCTTTTTCAAATTTTCTTCCAATTTTACTCTCTCTAATACAATTATTTCCATATCCACCCTAAAAAGTAATGTACCTTGGACAAAAAGAATAGAAATTCCTCTTCAAATAAATCCTTCTCTTCAATCCAAACGCTTCAAAACACTCTGCTTTTATCAAAATCACTCTTCATATCTTCCATCAGGTACACTCTCTCACTCTTCTCTCACACTTGTTATCATTTTTTTATAACCTCTAGCATTTTAATGAAAATGCGATAAAATAATTGTGTTCATATCTACAAACAATTATCTCGCGACTAGTATTTTGTTCAACAGATGAATGTCATCTCTTAAAAAGTATTTAGAAGAAAGAGCTTAGATGTACCTACTTGTGAAAATTAGTTCATTTTTCCTCAACTTGTAAACCAATAGAAAATGTTGGCATGTAAGAGCTTATTCAAATGAAAAATAATTATTCCAAAGATTAGTCCATATGCAATAGGAAATGATTGGATAAACCATGTAAAGTCATATTGAATTGTAAGGAGAGATATTCAATTGGACTGTTTTAAAATTCGCTACTAAAAACCACCCAAAATCAGACCCCTCGTAAACGCTTAAAACCAGTACTTTGAAAAAACGCCTTAACCGGCACCCAAAACTCCAAAACAGGCTTTTAAAGAAAGCATATCATCCAATTTCATTAAAAGCCAAAGCAAACCAAAAAATAAGCACAAATTATAGTATGCCCAAATAAATTAATGAACAACATTTCTTTTATGTAAAATTTCAGTCTGCCATTAGATGTATACAACAGAAATCCTGAATGGCATTTGATTTAAGAGATGCTAACCTTCTATTTATTGGAATCAGATCAAGTAAAATTGACATAGCGTCAAAACTAAAAAACGGCAAGTTTTTGTGCTTACTCTTGCGAGATAACAAGGAGTCCCACAGGCGAGTAGCTCTCTGAACCATATGAGAGTTTTGACTTGAGCTAGAAACAAGCTCATCCCAATGTTCACCTTCCAACTTCACTTTGTTTCTCAAATCATGTAGTTTCTCAAGCTCTTGTTGTAGATACGCCTAATATCAAGAAAGACATATAGATGCAAGAAAAAACTCACGCTTAGAAATAATGTGAAATATTTCAATTTTCAAGCCCTCCAATAATCCAATATAATATAATCATTATTCACCTCTTCAGCAGATAGACCGCGAAACTCAGCTGTCATTTCATGAGCCAAATTGGACCACATGGCCTGTCTCTGCACTGCTGTCTCTGCATTTTTCAGAAATCTTCTTCTTTCAAGAGCTATTCTACCCTGTTAAGGAATAAATAAAAGGCAGAGGTATATAAGTATGAAATTCACGTTGAGCACGCTGATCAAGTAAAAGAGCAAATGTACGAAAAAGAAGGCTAGTGTTTTTCTAGATTGATTCACTACCAAAACATCAAGGACCGTCATCAAAATTTGATGATTAACTCTAGCTCCTTGCACCTATTAGATCAGACTTATCCTCAGAACAAATGCTCTTCACCCTCTCTTCAATATGTAAAATGGACAGAGAACAAATTTCTTGTACAGTATTTAAATAAATCGGCTGTGCCATTCCATTCACAACTCATCGCAGCGTCATTAATAATTCAGTAAGTGCGAAAAGAAAAATTGAATGAATGTTCGTTCGTTTTGCTCTGTGATTGTCAGTATTTAAGAAGAAAATCAGAATCAGTATCCCAGGAAGTTATTTTGTTCTGGACAGTTAAATAAATCATTACAAGAGAAGAAAATTGTGCTTTGTTAATATAAAAGATCTTCCTACAACAGGTAGAAAAGGGTCAACAGAGAACAGCTTTTAGATTTTCGTAACCCTAACCCAAATAGTTCTCCAAATATAACAAGGAATTCTTCAGAACACAGGTTTCCCTTCGTAAACTTTAATACGTAGAAATTGAACATCATTTAGGGTCAGAAATCATAGTCAAATGGGCGGAAGCGTTATTCAACAAAAAAACAGTTAGTCTGACAATCTTTTCTCCATTGCCTTTTGTGGAAAAAAAGAAAGAGCGTGTAGGTCATTAGGAGTAAAATCGTTTATTTCCCTGTTAAGGGGGGGAAAAAAGATCAGAAGCAGAATTACCTTAGTTACAGGAAGTAATGTAGCTGCATGCGAGAAAGATACATCTGTCAATGGAGCAGGCAGTGGGTTGGATGATACATCAGCTGCAAATGTTCGCCTGTGAACCTCTCGCAGAGCATGCAAAGAAAGTTGCCACAGAAGTTCGATGAATCTGCATTTGGCACGTAAAATTTATTGTGGACTGAATGTGTATATAACTTGGCCATCAGACTACAACGATTGAGAGCTTCATATGCGTTCATAGTTCCAGAAATATGTAAGACGGTAAAACACGTGGAAACATGATAAAGAGGACTTAGAGGAGTGAATAGCAAAAATATCATCCCTCCAAAGTGGAAAAATAAAATAAATTCCTTCAGAATTCAATGTCCTTCAAATAAGAATGAAAATTGGAGTAAACAAGCAAAAAACTAATAAATTATAATGAATATAATATCATCACTCAAAGACAACGCAGTAAAAGAATTGTGATAGAAGACAACCCAGTAAAAGATTATTGCTTGTAAAAGTGAATTAGTGATAGATACTCCCATTGAAACCGAAAGTCATAAGAAATATATCTAAATAAACTTTTGCCCATCGTCACATGATCCATTGTATTGAGATATGCAAAAAATAGGTTTAAAATCAGAAATGGTTGTCCAAATCCAATACTGTTACTGAATAAGTAGAATAGATTGAAAGTACTAGCAAAAGTAATAAAAGTAGGAAATTCCATACCCGCAAAAATTAAAACACATCACACAGCTTATAGAAACAAGCTACCAAATTTTATGTCTCAGTTTTATGTGTTTACAAATCCTGTTGAAAATGTTTCCAAATAAAACACAAATTCTGTATTCCGTAACTATCATTGAACGGACATGTTTTCAAAAAATTCATCCATGGAGTGGAATTTCAAGAGCATTAAATATCCAATCATGTAAGGTTGAGTAACTTAATGCTTTCCAAAATTGGATCTACTCTGTCAATCCATTAAATAATCAAAACTAACTCCAGATGGACTGAGTTAATATTGTCTTCACTCCTGTAATTGCAGGTTAATTAATAATGCAACTGAGGATAGTTGGCAAGGTGCCTATTAAACAATTATTTAATTAACTCCATATATATGTTCTTGTTTTCATCACATTGGAACTAGCAACACGGTGACACTCCCAAAACAACACACGAGTGCCAAATTTCCAAAGAGATCGTAGTGACAGTTACGATTCTAGTGAAGTTCAATAAAAGAAGGGGTAATAATATATAACTAGTTTAATCCAAAAATATATCAACTAGATAGCTGAAAGTACATTCTGATCCAATCAAACATAAACAAAAATCCTAACACATGAACCTCGGTCCGCAGCAAGTGGCAAGTGATGAAACCCTCGAATTGCTCCTAGGCAACGCCCCTTGAGATTCAAGTTCGCTAATAATACCTTGCACAACCTAAATTTCCCAATTAAAATTCAAATTTAGTTTAACCAAGTTACATATATAGTTATACATCTGAAAAGTTCAATGAATCAAGACGGGAATTACCTTCCGAAAATCACGAGACTGAGCCGAATCAAAAATCGGCCACACCTTATCAAAGTCCTGTAAGATCCAAATGCCAAAAGACTTTCAATAAAATGAAAATATATCAAGCCCTCAAAAAAAAAAATACGTATAGACATCTGAATCTTTAGAAATCGCGTGTACTTTGGCTGATTGAATAGGGCCACGGAGAGAGGAAAGGATGAAGTATAGAAGCTGTTCGCCTAATTTCGGGTTGGAATGACGGAATAATCCGACCCGAGGAGTCCCATTGTTCGACCCGATTCCGAATATGGCCGGATCCAAACCAAGTAACAAGCAATTCGTGTACATCGTACTCTCCAGTTCTATCTCTCTCTCTTTCTCCCTATCCATCGTCATTACACACTCCTCTCTCTCTCTCTCTCTCTCTCTCTCTCTCTCTCTGTGTGCCCTCTCGCTGTGCGTGAAATTCGGGTTGGTTTGTTTCCGATTTGATTCGTCTTGGTTTCACAGTTTCACTTTCACTTTTAAGGCATACTCGTGTAATCTTTGAAATGATGAGACCTTGAGGATTGTTTAAATTGCGAAATTGCCTCTAATTTGGTTGTAATTTTGAATATTGGGATGAAACTGAAATTTTCTTAAAGTTAGGCGGGGCCCGGCGGGATGAAGGAATCACGTTTGGAAAATTTTGAAATGTTCGGTGGTTGTCTCTAATGTGCGCCGCTTCACTTATTCGCCGGCCAACTTCGGCACCGGTGCTTCTAGACTTCATATGGGTAAAAAGTATGAGTTTACGCGTGAAATTATTTAAAAATAAATTTGAGAAAAAATATGTTTTCACGGAATTTTGTATCGAAAAGAGGCTTTAGTTATTAATTATTTAATTTAATTTTTCCTTTTTAACTTTGTCTTTTTCATCCAAATGGATCGTTCTATCAAAATATTACCTACATTTTATTCATTTATATTAAGACAAAATGAAGACAATCCCGGAGATACTAAGGTGGCAGACTGAGATTGTGAATACTACTTTTCATTTGGAAGATTGATATTGTTGTTTTAATGTCATTTCGAAATTTTTCAATATCTTTAAGGATATGCCAAACAAATATTACATGATATAATGACTACTTGTATTATTATGCACAATATGATAATCGGTGATGAAAGTGATATTAATGGATGAATTGATGATTATATGGAAGCGTCAACTCCAAACGGTGAGATGATTGTAGAAGAAAATACTCGATTTCAAGAATTTTTTGCCCAAGATAGACAAATTAAGAATAAAGATGCACACTTTGCACTTCGAAATATATTAATTGATCATTCGTGGGAGAGCCCCGTTTGATGGCCATTATTTGAAAACTTATTTTTTCTATAACCACGCATTCACAACATAAAGCATTTGTTTGACCCCATTAAATTACAATTCATTTTTCTCCATTTTCTTGTTAATCACAATTTTCTAATAAAATAATATTGCATGTAAAATAAGTTTTTTTTCATTTTTAACCACACATTCATGAAAAATTACTATTTCAAAATCAAATTCTCATTATAATGAGAGAATAATGGGGCCAAACGGGAGCCAACTTTGCACTTAAACTCAAAACAATTTCTTATTTTTTAACCACATATTGTCTTAAAAATCACTATTAATTTTTTGTCTAATAATGGCTCTCAAATATGGGCTAATTACGATAAATAAGTGACAAAACTAGTCTTCATTTTCATTATATGCAATTTTTTTTGTTCATTCAATATAATTTTTTAAGAGAAAATTACAGTCATGGTACCAAACATTTCACTGTCTTGGCAATAATTTTAGATTTAGACTTCGACTGGGATCGAGTTTTTGGTTTGCTTTGAAGAATTTGGGGAATTTGAAGTTTGCTGGCATAGAGGTAGCGATGCCAAAAAAGCTCGACGGTCCGGGCTCGACTAGAAAAAAGTCTGAGGGGGGCCGACTCATGGCTCAGTGGCATCGAGCCGAGGCTCAGGCCAAGCCCCATTTTAGGGCGTCGACTCGAGCCCGGGCTCGTCACCGACCTGTGCTATTCGACACGGGATTACCACATTCCAACAACTGGACTTAGAATGCTATTCAAATGCTTGAGAACGATACAAGGGTTTACTCCACCAATGCCCACAACACGGATTGCAGAAATGGCTTCAGGTGCAGTGCTTCTACATTGGTCTGAATTCGATAAGCAAGGCTAATGTAGACTCTTCATGTAATGGTTCTATTACAAAAATAACCACGGATCAAGTCTACCAAATCATGGAGGATCTAGCATTCACTAGTGCACTTTGGCCTACTGAAAGGACGAGTGGAAAGAAAGTTGTTGGGGTATTCGAAGTTGATTCTTTGACAGCAATTTTAGCACAGTTGGCATCATTGGTACAGAAGGTGGATCAGAAAAATGCAGTCCAGGCAATGAAATCGAAATGTAAACATTGTGGAGGAAACCATGAATTTTTTTATTGTAATGTAGGGTCTCATTTTGTTTAGATAGTGGAGGATGTGAACTACAGTCGGAATTTTCAAAGGCAACAATACAATCAAAATCCTAGCACTTACTACCCAAGCTGGAGTAATCGCCCAAGTTTCCAATGGAACAACAATTTGGGAGCTCAGATTGCGCTACAGCATACTGCACCGCCATATTTTCAGCAAAATGAGAAGAAGTTTTCATTAGAAGATCTTATGACTAAGTTGACGGAAATATCTACTCGATACATGCAAAGAATCGATAAAATCTTGCAAGTTCAGTGAGCTGTCATCAAGAATTTAGAAAATCAGATGAGACAAATAGCGAAAGCGCTTTTAGAAAGACAACTAGAAGCATTGCCTAGTGACACTGAGATAAATCTCAAACAACAAGTAATG